AATCTGTAACCGCGCACTACTGCCCTCTAACAAAGTGGATGTAAACTAAATAGTAACATCCACTTTTTTTAGGGTACATCGGCTAGAGATGATAAATCGATATTTGGTTCATATATATTCTTTGCACTTTTTATTGTATAGACAAGGATTTTGTCTGTACAAAATTCAGTAATTCGCCAAAAGCTTCATCTACCTGATTATCTTCATTTTCTTTATCCGACATCCTATTTTTTTTTATTATGTTATATTGGTTTGTTCCGGAAAATTCGTGCCGATTTCTGATAGATAGCGTGAAGGACAAATCTGAGTATATCAGAACAATTGAAAACAAATAACATGCGTACATATCATAAGAGACGGTACTTCATACTTGGAAAAAAATTTGGTTGCGATACGATTAATTTTGTCAGTTTTATATGTCTTTGAATATGGAAGAAGTGCATTTTAGGCATTTAATTGCTTTTCTTTTACCGGAAAGACAAAAATGCCAAATAAGATATGTGCTATTTATGGTAAAGGTGTTGTAGCTGAAAGAACTGTGCGGAAGTGGTTTGCTAGGTTTAACTGGTGATTTCAATCTTGAAGATCAAGAACGGATAGGCCCTCCACTACAGATGAAGATTAGATTAAAACATTGATCGAGAATAACCCATGCTATACGACACGTAAATTAGCAGAAATGTTGAATATATATATCAAAATCCATCATCCACGAGCATTTTGTGAAGCTTGGCTACATAAACCGTTTTGATGTATGGATTCCCCACAATTTAACGGAGAAAAATCTGATGGATCGCATTTCCATTTGCGACTCGCTCTACAAACGCAACGAGGAGATTTTTGAAGTAAGTAGTGACGGGGGATGAAAAATTGATCATTTACAATAATGTTGAGCGAAAAAGATCTCGGGGAAAACGGAATGAACTACCTTTAGCCACCCCCAGTCTTCATCCAAAGAAGGTCATGCTCTGTGTTTGATGGGATTGGAAAGGGATCCTGTATTATGAGCAAACTTTTAGCAAACAACGAGACAATAAATTCAGAGAAGTATTGTTCCCAATTAGACGAATTAAAGACAGCAATTGAACAAAAACGTCTAGAAATAGCGAATCGAAAGGGCGTCGTGTTTCATCAAGACAATGCGCGACGTATATAATATGTCTTTGATAATTCAAAAAAGTTGGAGCTTGGTTAGGATGTTCTATCCCAATTCCATCATATTCACCAGACCTCGCGCCCTCTGATTTTTACCTATTTCAATCATTACAAAATTCCCTTAATGGAAAAAGCTTCAACTCTTTGGTCGAGGTAAAAAAATCAGTTAGAAAAGTTTTTCTCGCTGAGTTTTTCTCTTCGCTGAAAAACCTAAGAGATTCTGGAAGGACGGAATTTTAAAGTTGCCTGAAAGATGGAGAAAGGTTGTAGAACAGAATGGCACCTATATAATTTAATAAATGTATACTAAAATTTAAATCTTCTGCGTTTCAATTTTCCTTCAAAATCGGCACGAACTTTCCGGACAACCCAATTCTTTATGCTTATTTGTAAATGCCAGCATATTGCACCGTATCATGCGATATTTAATCATTTTCTGTAGTTTTCTGTTTCTCGAGATAAAAGTTGACGAACTTCTGAAGAGACAAGGAACACGCAACAAAAAACATCATTGTCGAGATAAAAGTGTACAAAGAAACAGAAGCAAGAAACAGGAAACAAAAAGCATATTGTAGAATCGGCTTTATGATTATTCTACAATGTGCTTTTTGTTTCTTGCTTTTTGCTTTTTCCCTCTTTATCGTTTTATCGATAATTGTATTTCTTGCTGTGTTTCCTTTGTTTCTTCCGAAGTTCATTAACTTTTATCTCGAACGACATAAAACAAAAAACCGGGTAAGAAACAAAAAAAACAAGAAATAAAAAAATAGCAAAAAGCAAGAAATGGAAACAAAAAAGCACATTGTAAAATAACCATAAAGCTTATTCTATATGTACTTTTTGTTTCCTGTTTCTTGGTTTTTCTATTTTTTACATCTTGTCTTTTTGCTTCTTATCCGATTTTTTTGTTGTTATCGCCTGAGATAAAAGTTAACAAACTTCGAAAAAAACAAGAAATATATAGCAAGAAATACAATTATTGATAAAACGGTTGCAAAGAAGAAGAAAGCAAAAGATAAAAAACAAAAGATAAGAAACATAAAACAAAGAGCACATATGTAGAATAAGCTTAAAGTAAAAAATCAAATTCTCAAAAATAATTAAAAAATCAAAAAACAAAGTAATAATTAAATACAATTAAAATTCCAAAAACGAATTCTTAGAGATTAAAAAATCATGAATCATATAAATTTAAACTTTTAAAAATCAATTAAAACAGAGAATATAATAAAGATGATTTAATTAAAATTCTATGAATTATGAAATAAAAAATTCTTATAATATTTCAATTCTACAGGTTCAAATAGCGATAAAAATTAAAAAATTATATTGCATTGTGTATATGTATGTGATGACTACATGTAAAAAGATCAATTTAGTCAATTAATCGATAAATCCTGGGTTTATAATTCCAAACTATTTTACATTAAATTAATCGGAAACTTATGAATAAAGGAAAACACAGTGACTCATTTCATATTTTAATTATTCACTATTCATTTATGCTATGTTTACATACAAAAATTACTCCATTTAATCTATTTTATTATAAAATAAGTTTTTAATTACATCTACATCCTAAAACATATCCCAGCAAACAAGAATGGAATAAAATGAAATTTTTTTCTATCCGAATTTTAAATAGCGAATACTTTTTTTTGGATTTAATTGGATTCAATTGGATTCAATTGGATATAATTAGATTGAAAAATTGCATTTCCTATTCAAAATTTTAAATTGAAGTATTCATAATGCAGAAAAAGCTAATATTATTTTTAGATTGAAAGGTATAGAGATATGCTCCATGCTATTCTTATGAATAAAAATACATTCAGGATTGAAAAGCATTCATTTTAATATTCGTGAATCAATATTTCTGAAAATGTGAGTCCATTTCAATTCATTGCAATTTTCATTTGCTTGGATTTTCAATTATTTCGATTAAATATAAAAAAAAGAAATTTAAAAAATGAAAATTAAAGATTTAAAAATACGAAAAAAAAATTCTTAATAATGAAATTTGAAATGATGCGCGTTATTTCAGTAAAAATACAATTAAAATTTAGATAAAACACATGATCGTTAATTAATATATCGAATTTCAGTTCATCATGTTAAAAATATTATTAAAAGTATTTTTGGACATTATATCGATTATTGTGGATTCCAATTCCTCTGCCATTAAAAAATCCTGTAAAATCCATTTGTATTGTATCAATCTAAATATAAATATTAATTACATGATGCAAGCTTACTGAGATAAGGTTGTTGATGATATATATTCGTCGGTGGAAATGGCATAGGGAGTACGGATCCTGGAAAAACAGGCATAAGCATGGGTGGTGTCGGTACTCGAGGCATCGGCATCAGCAAAGGTTTAGGTAACCGCTAAAATAAATATCGATTTGTAGAAATAGTTACTTAAATATATGATAAATTGCTCGATATTACTTCAGGTGCAGTTCAATCCCGTATATTTTATATTCTTTTCGACATTGATTGAAACAAAAGCATTATTTTCTTTTCTGAACATTAAAATTAGTTGAACTTACTATGTAGGAGCTATAGAAGCTATCCGAGGAAGAGTGTAACTTTGAAGATACACGATTATCTAAATTGTATGATTGATCAGAATAATTTCTTTTAGATGAAAATTTACTTATTTCGTTATTGTCTCTCTTTCTTTCTCTATCTCGTTCACCGGTTGGTGAATGACTTCTAAAAGAGAAAAATACTTTTATATTCTCGTTACACAATAAAAGTTTTACATATTTTATTAAAATTATAACTTCATTAAAATAACTTCAGTATAAACACAGAAAAATTTGCATTCTACAACAATATACGAGTCCGCCATGCATGCATAACTCTCTAAACATAATTTAAAATGTTTGAAGATGGCTTAAAAATACAAAACATAAATAGGAAGCATACAGTCACAACGATAGATGTTTAAACGAAAATTATATATTTAAAATTATCATATAAAAACATTTCGATTAAAATTTGACCATCATCAGTATATCAAGTTGATAAAAAATTAATTAATTAAGCAAAAATCGCTAGTCGAAAAGATGGTAAGACAATATCAAGATGACAAATAAAAAATATATATATATAAATATACATAAAATTCAAATAATGATCGCTAGTCAAAAAGATGGTAAAACAATTTTCCAATTGCTTATAGTACGAGTTAATAGAGTAAGTTGTAGTCCAGAAAATTAACCAATATTTAAACGCTTCTAAAAGCGAATAATCTGTTACGTTTCTGAATTTAACATTTTCTTTTATTTTTAAATTGCTTGTATCTATTTATACTTTCTTTTTCTCATTTCTTTATATCCTTAATAATTAAGTTTTATTTTGTACCTGTAATGAGATCTCGACTGATCTCTAGTGAAAGATGCACTATAATGTAATGAACTTCTATTTCTTCTTTCATTTCTATTTCTATTTTTCTCTTTGCATTCCCTTGTTGAACTATGTCGCCTTCTGGAACGTAAGAAACTCTAACTTTATTTATGTATAATACACATATATTATTTATATAATACTTATAAAAATTATTGAAATTCTTATAATCTTTCAATTATGACAGATTTTCTCCAGAATTTAAATAATAATAATAATAACTTGTTGAGTGCAATATAAATTAAAAATTAAGAAATAATAAGATTCCATACAAACAACATTTATTATAAAAATGTAATCATTACTTATCATTTAGCAATTTATTAATTCATTAATGAAAAAATTGGGACTAACCTGTCGCGACTGTATCTTTTATTATCATCTATTCGATCACTTCGACACATAGTTGACTTGTATGAACTAGAATCACTGTATTAATGTGTTGTTAGTAACATGTGCAGTAAATTACAATTACTGCAGTATCATTGTTTACAAACTTAATGAAATAATTATTAAGCCATGAATAACGATTTTATATTTATGAGTTATATATTTATAATTGGAAAATAAAAAATTGTAAGATTATCAAGATTTATATTAAATATAAAATATAATCTTAAAAAATATAAATTTAAAAAATATATAACTATACACAAAAATTTTCAGATAGATCGACAATAAATAAAATCAGATTCAATAACTAACAAAACAAGATATGTAATTCAGTTAGCAAAGTGACTATTTTAACATCAAGACAACGACAAATAACGTCAGCTAGCTACTTGGATGCCTCGATGACAAATAACTTTATATCCATAACACTCATATTCATGTATAGCTGGAAATAAAAAATTAATAAATTTAAAATAAACTTAACTGCACAATTCGTACATAATTTCAAAAAAAAATTTCCAGATACATGTAATGAATATGCTTATTTGATTGCTTATTGAGCATGAATACATTCAATAAGCAATAAAAGAAATGAAAACATTCTTTGTTAAGAAATATTTAAATAAGTTCAAACAACTTTATATCCATAATATATTAGCATGTTTAATACATACTCTATCCAGAAAATAAAATTATGTTTATAACCGTAAAAATAATTTCGAAGATCTATGATTTTTCGCTTATAATAAAAAATTTTATATATTTACAAAGTTAATATTAATAAAAAATATATATTCATAGATTTCTTGGAATGTTGTGACTAATTTAATATTGAATATTACCAATATACATCAATATAAAAATCATTATTTTTTCT